TATGCAAATCACTTTCCGATTATATAATAGCATTTCACTCAACAGCGGATGAAATGTTAATGTTTTTTATGTAACCGGAAATTCATTAGTCAATCAAATGTCAGACCAAATAAATTGAAGATTTTTTTGGTAATCGTTTTTCAAATGCTTTTTGATTTAATCTATAATCACTAATAGAGCTTTGTTTTTAAACAAACTTTTGTTTAATGTTCAAAACATTTTATCATATTTTTAAAGTCAATAGATATTTGTTTTGGTAAAAGTATGATATTTTTAAAATTTTTTATTGTAAAAACAAGTTTAGGTTTTTATGTGGAAATTTTTGCGGAAAGTTTTGGTTAAAAACTATCTCTTTTTTCAGGTTTCTCGCAGTGAAAGCTAATGAGTTGTAATTTCCCGTCTGATAGCCACGGCTGAGACCATACTTCTGCTGAACATATTTCGGTTTTCTGTTAATTGAGTACAAAATATGTTATTTCTAAATACATTTAACTACTATTTTATACGTTTACTAATGAAAACATGTAAAATTATAGATATGACTTTATATAATATTACATGACTTATTAATTTACTATTACCGTAAATATGACATAAAATAATAAAACATATAAAGCAATAAATAATTAAACATACGGTAAAAACACAGTCTTCAGGGACGGGCTGACCCTTTCGACAATTAGTTCTTTTGAATTCAAAGGTGAGGTAATACTTGTCTCCGGACACCACTTGTCTCTCGGCTTTCAATATGTGAGCGATTTTGTGTGTATATATGGAGTTCACGCCGTTATTAAGCATCGATTCCGTGAAATCAATAATTGGCTGTAAATCGGGATCATTACTTCGGACCACTTGTTTGCCGCCGAGTATTACTGCCATTGTTTTATACGTCAATACAAATACAATCACTGAACAAATAATTAAAAATTTCATATTTTTATGCAAAAATGAGCTTAAAATGAGACACAAGTGTTTCCAAACAATATTGCAATAATAATTATGATTATTAATATGTTAGCTATTTTATACTTTTTTATAATGTAAACAATTCTTTAGCTGCTTTATATCGGTTGGATTTATTATACATTTATATTTGATAACAAAAATTATTCACTGATTAACAGTAATAAAGAATCGGCTGATATTTGTGTCTGAATGTAAATGAATTTTTAGTCTAACTTTTTTTTGTCTAATTTATCACTATTTTTCATTGACTTTGAAATATGTTTTCCAAATTAATATCATATATTTCTTATGATTGTTTATAAGTTATAATTTAATAGTAATTATTTATAAATACTCGAAACATATGAGCTGTTATAAATAAACATTTACAAAAAAATATTTAGTTTTTAGTTAAAATACTATTAAATGTAATTTACAAATTAAGTATCATGTATTAAATCAATTCTACTAATTAGTCAACCTTGTATTATATTTGTTGTTAATCTCTGTTTTTAAAAACGTATTATTTAATGATTAGTTTTTGTTTGTTTTATTATTTGTTATAAATACCAAAAAGGTATACATCCATAACCCTTAGAGATATGGTATAATGCATCTAGTTTATACTGTAGTTATATCATACGAGCTGATACAATATAACTATTGTTTACTGTAAACAATTAACTTATGTATTTATCATTTTTCAAATAATACCATGAATGATAGGAAAACTTTAAACACTTTATAAATGGATAGCAACATGGTTTAAAAACAAAATCTCAATGTTTAACCTAAAAAGTTAAGTTTATTATGGGTAGTATACACTGTAACCCAAACTCAAAATAAATTAAAAACAAGAATATTTTTATATTAATTTACAAATAATAAATTGTAATTATAAGGCTAATATGTGCCAATTTTCTAAATAACCATTTTAATTTAATTTAAACTTTAAATAAACGGAAATTTATCATTAAAAATATATACATCACTCCAACATGTAATAAAAATTAAATGATTAGAATTAAAATAGTCTATAATTTGAATGATAAGGACTACAATCCGTTGCAATTGAGAAACAACACTTGATTCTTAAGGTTTTGATCCCAAAGTTGGCTCAATATAATTGAATTGCAGACTTCGGTCTTCTGTATCCATCATATAAGACAAAGAAATGATAAATTGATTATAAATTATATTAATTTAAACCCATAATATATTCTACATATACTTACGATAACTTTGCAATTCGTTAAATCGGTGACATTTTGGGCGCAATTGGTTTCATTGATTTCAAGAGTTATGTAATATTTAAGACCGGAAACCACTTGGGATTGAGTTTTTAACACTTTTCCCATTCCTATGGCTTGTGTGGTGTCTATTGAGCCGTGAATTGCGTTAAACAAGAATCCGATGGCATTCTTAACGGCCGAACTGTTTGGGTCCACATCTTTAACATCACCGGGCAATGGATCCGGTGTTGTGCTCACCATCACAACCATAAACAATACATTTAATAGGGTTAAAGTGTTCATTTCGTTACCTATTGCTAAGGGTTTCCAATACTTTTGTTGACTATCTCTTAATTAATTCAATTATTTCTCTTATTTATAATAAACGCGAGTTTACTGGTATTGATTCCTGTATTCATTGGTTTAGTTTCAAATCAAACCCTATTTTATGGATTCTTGAAGTTGTTTACATAAACACCTGTAATATACCTATCAATCAATAATACATATAATATTCTAGTGTTGTTATTGTCAATAATTTATTGGGAAATCATAAATTGTGATAAAATATTAATTAATACAACAATACTTCAATTAACAATTGCAGTGCACTTTTCAGCCAATCCTAGAATAGTATTAAACATGTCTACAAAACTTTTACTTATAAAATATTATCTTTGAGTTGTGATCAAAAGTAGTTATTTATACCACATTTACAAACATAAAACCTATCATCAAATGCAATATTCAATTAAACTAATTTAGCAACTTATATTTGGCATAGGTTAGTTTGTAGAAAATTACTGTTAGCTAAAATAAGTGACTACTTTGATAGACTCAATGTTGTGCAATGCAATGACACTACTGTTGCCTAACCTGTAAACTAAACCCAATAATAATGGCATTAATTAAAAGTAATCAATACTCGTATTAAAGAATTGCCACAAAACTCATTGCAATCCAAATATCAATTGCAATTTGCAATTCAATTCATTTCTAACGCATTGAGAATCGCATGTATTTTAACACAAATATTGTCCATAATATACGACAATATAATAGACAGTGAATACCACTCACAACACATGCACTGCAATGCCATTCAAACTAAGCCCACGTTTACGTCATTTACGGCGATATTTATTATTTTGATCCAAAATCACAACAATTAGTAAATGAATAACAATTGAATTGCAATGAGTTTTATATCTTTATTTCGTCACCAAAAGCGGTTCCTTAACTACAAAGTGGTATATAAGGGACCCTTTGATTACAAGAGAGACCACACGAAAGCATACAAATACCCCTTCGGTATCAACAAGTCTGCCATCGAGGAAGAGATGAACCAAATCAACGAATTGAGACAACACGAGCTCAAACAGGTGTCGCCTTTCCATCTGGTCTGGAGGCACAAAGACATCTACGACATGGCCTGGTATGTAGTGATCCGCCATTGCATGTCATTATGTGTTGATCTAACAAACCATGTGTTGTATCGTTAGGCACGAGAGGTATGTGTTGTCTCACTTGGGTTTGCATCAGAAGGAGCCCAACCTTCGGGTCGTTTTGCCCAATACTCCGCATTTCAATGACCTGTTGTGGAAAGTGAAGCACTTGATCCAACTCATGCCCATCGCGTTCCCCGACGGAGTGCCCACCGATCGAGACGTGGGATCCGTTAAACTCAACACTAATACCGGTGTAATGAATGTCAATCCCAACTATAAGGTGTCCAACGAAAGGCTCGATTCGGCCAAAAGTCACGACATCTTCTACGGCCGATACCTTCGCGAGTATCTCAAGTGGAGTAGCGGTCTGTTTGGCAAATCATTGCCCGTCTCTCCGGTCATCGATTTGGACGGAACTCATATCGAAAAGTATAAGCGGAAGATGCAAAACGCCCACAAACACAGACATCACTTCTACAACAACTGATCCAATCTTTAATTATCGATAATACCATTAAATTTACATTTATTTAAATTCAAAGCAATTCTATATTAAACATATTGTAACTGATAGTTGTTATTACTGTATAAATTAGTTTATTTGATATAATAGTGATTAAATGTTGCCATAAATTGGTTAAACATTAAAATCATATTTTATATTTAAAATTATCATTAAATGACTGAATTAATTGATTAAACAGCTGTTTATACGACAAATATTTATGACTTAACTAGCACTTTGTTGGAAATGCCATTAAATGCAATGAAATGTGTATTTGTTATGCATTCTTGGTTTAGGTCTCCGAGTGTTTGTGCATTGAATTAGATTTAATTATTAAATTTGATTTAATTGTTGTTACAATTTATATACCGGTTATGTTATGTATTAAATCACATAATACTGTTACTTACGTAACCAACAGTTAACTTCACAACAAAAGGTTGTTTACAGCGGAGTTTCGGCAGCATTAGGCGTGGGTTAGTGTGGTATGTCACTTTGGAGCAATATCATTTGGTTATAGACAAATGTACGAAAATTAACTTTAATTGAATTAATTAATGTCTTTACAGATATTAGTTGTTAAAAGCAATTGTTTAAACGGTTTAAATGTTATTAAATATGATTTAATGGCCAAAACAGCAAACGTTTGCCATAAATGCCAACAATTGTATTGACAGACAAAACAAAACTTTTATCAAAAGTATTCAAAGAGTAAACAAAAACAAAAGTTTTTAAGTTTTGTTTTCAAAATTAGAGACTATTTTTAAAACAAATATTTAGTTTTATATTAATTGTGATTAAAATCAATGATATTTTATACGAATTAAGTTTATATCAAATCTATATTTATATATATTTTAAATACAAATTGAAAATCAAAACTTTTTACTCAAAATTTACGTTATGTTCAAAACCCTCACTTAACTTACCGTTAGTTTACGTATCGTTAACACTATTGTTACTCTCATTTCTGTGGTGTTCACCACTAGTTTTGCAGGACCTAATGGAGGCCTCGAAGGTATTACATCTGGCGCTCCAACAGATGGATGGCATCATCGCCAGTATGTATCACACCATCCATGACAGCTCATCCCTGTCTATTGTCTCAATCATATCTTTACTAACCGTTGTCTCGTTGTCTCCCATTTTGACACACATTGTGTGACAATAGGTTGCGATTCACTCATGAGTCCAGATATTAACCAATTGAACGATTCTTCGGCCTTTCATTTCAACACCTTTTCGCTCAACACTAATAGTAATAATAATAACATTAATAGCAATAGTAGTCAACAAAATCAGCACAAATTTACACAATTGTTGACTGAATTAAAAGCTTTACAAACGGATAACAAGAGTAATCATAATATAGTTGTGGACAAAGAAAGCCGACGTCTCTTAATTGATTTGCTCCTCAAATATCTCAACACTTCTTCGCCGACAGTAGCGCCAGAAGAGAGTCCACTAAATGCGGTAAATATGATCTCAAACGCGGTGTTAATCTCAATAAATCTCAAAACAAATCCCAAATAAATAAATTTAAAAACTATCAATGAATCGAGAGATGTGTTACAAATGGTAATCTGATCTTTGAGTGATTGATTGCGTGATAAATGTATGAAAAATGTTTGTGTGTTTTCATTAGACATAACAGACATCGTGTAAAGCGATGGGATCTGTGGGTCAAGTGTTTGGTCCCAATTGGCAGCAAATGGGAGTGAATGTGATATAAGTGTTATATAAGTGCTAACACTCTAAGAGAGTCTGCATTTAGCTATAAGTTGTTTGAACTTTTTGGATAATTTATTGTGAACACTGTTTTGGCTCTGATTTGGTGTTTATATAACTGTTCTCACAGTCTGTGGATATGTTGGCAAACAGCCATCACATCCAACAACCATCACAGCCATAGCCATTCCCCA